GGGACGAAACATTAATAGTGGCTACTGAAGCAGATGTTGATTTTGGTGATGTTGTGGTTGTCATTGTATTTGTAGGAATGATAATAGAAGACAAAAGAAAAAAAAAAGATGATGATGGTCGTTTGACCACCTATTTGTCGTCACTTGTTACAATGTTACGGTTAGAGCCGACAGAGTGACAACAAGTAGAAGAAACAGTTGCTTTAATTAACTATTTGTACAACAACACACGATCGACACTGTGCGCAGCGTCAATAGCGGCATAGAGAAAAGCCTAGAGCCTTGTTCTCCGTTTTCTCCTTCAACAATCGTAAAAGCTAAACGACAACGATGCCTCTATCGGCTGCCGTATAGAAGCAATGAGAAAGAGAGAAAGAAGAAAAAAGAATCGGACGAAGAAGTCGATTGTCTTTTATTCCGTCCTCTTCTTTCTTTCCCTGTTCTGTTCTGTCATTGCTAACAGCAACAAAACGGGAAAACCTGAAACTAGTCTTTCTCTTATGTTCTTCCATTAATGACTTTTCGTTCTTTTTGGCATATTTGTATGTGCATATTATGTGTCTCTGTGTGTTACACATCTCTAGTCGCATTTGCATTTAATATACTTAGCAGAAGACATTGCAAGTTTTAGTCTTATTTTTTATGGCTCCTCAGAAACTCTGTAAAATATGCCATTTCTTATGTGGATGTATATGCATATATATATATATATATATATATGTATATCAATGCGTAAATTTCTTTCTTGGTTCCGATCAATCAGTTCGACATGTGGAGAAATAGAAATATTTCCTATTTTCCTTATACGACTTCCTTCTTCATCATTTTTTTTTATTTAAAAAAAAAAGAGAAAAAAAAAGCGGAATATAAGAAAGAACGAGATACACTCAATTGATCGTTTTTCGCTTTTTCACACATGCATTCATTTGATTCAAAGTGCACTTCAATTTCTGATTAATACTTAGTTCATTTATTCAGCTTCATTGGAACCATTAAAAAGAAATGTAGTAATAAATATAATAGAAAATAATATATCTAAATAAATAGTTCTATCAATCCATTCTTCTTATTCTAATTACGAGAAATAAATGAGAAAATAATGTAAAATCTGCAAAGATATATTCTATCAATTTAACTATCATTTTGAATATATATAAGACACATTTAACGTATACGGAAGTTCATTAATAATAAGAAACAATACACATGCGTATATATATATATATATTTATATAGATTCTTGGCTTTCTCCTTGCTTTTTCTTTATATAAATGACATATAGATAAACTCGTCATGAAAGTTGCTTTTTTTGTTTGTAAAGAAAAAAAACCAAAAAAGCTTTTCATGTTCAAGAACGACTGTCGTTCACAGTCAATTTCAACATTTTTTTTTTCTCGTTTCTAGTCATCATCATCATCCATGAAGAATAATTTGATTAACTATTTTCATCAATCCGATGAAAGAAATAGAAAGTGATCTATATATATAATATATATATATATCTATATATATTCACGACTAATGCATACATGCTTTGGATGACAGAACTTGTTAGTTTAATATAATCCGAAAGTGAAAGGAGCAAGCTTATGAGCTAAGCGTACCATGCAATTATGCTAAGGATAGTTGACGACTTCCGGATAAGGTTGAGCACATTTTCTTTTCTTTTTTTCTCTCTCTTATAAGACGAAATGACAATGCTAAAGAGAAAGAGAAAAAAAGACATTGGTCGATATGTTAGGTACTAATACATGCAATAAAGAAGAATAAGTATACATTGAAATTAATGATGACACGAGAACACAGTATTGTCAAGATTAACTATGTGCGCAATATATGACGTGAGCAATGTTGTATCGTGCATTAATTTTCAGGAGAACAAAAAACAGGAATATAGAATGAATTACGCGACCAACCATATACTTGCACTTTAATAGAATCACATGTCAAGCAGGTGGGAAACCACAAACGTATGAAAAAAAAAAATGCTGAAGTTTCAGAGTATATAATATATTTTTTTCTTAGTCTAATTGCATTGAACACATACTTTTATGAACTTTCCGGGAAGATGTCAGGTATATAAATGATTTTTCTTTTTAATATGAACGTTTTAAATAAACAAGCAAGCTTAATATAGATATCTCATACCTGTTGATGAAAGTGTTCGTTGATGTCGCGAGCGTAGCATGTATAGTGCGTATTGCTCGGTATATATGGTCGTATCGTCAATTGTCGTTAATACGACGACGATCCGTTAAAGGCAACTGATAACCATGTCCATACTTCCGCCTTCGTTGGAGATCTCGAGTTTCCGTTAATAATAGTGTAAAAATCATCTCCAAATATAGAATTATAGTCTACATCATGATACGTAGAAATAGAATATAAAACAAAGCAATAAATAATCTTTCTTTTGTTCTCACTTTCCCCACCTTTCTTACTGTAAAACAAATAGTATGATGGTGCATTGACAAAAACAATTAATAAGTATGCAACAACGACAACAAGATAAAAAAAAAGTAGAAGATAGAAAAGAGCAACAAGATGGAGGACAATCAGAGTCAGAAGCAATAGCAACAGCGGTATTTTCCCTCCCTCTCACATTCCTGGCTGTTCGCATCGACATCGACAACGACAACAGCAGCAATAACAGAAACGAGCAGATCCGCTCTTGCCTTCTCTCTCCCTCTCCCTCTTTGTGTCTATCTCTCGTCCCTTCTCCTTCTCTAATTCACATCACGCACACACATACACTCACATACACACATCGAAGATTGTAATGTTGGTTGGCTGCCGCTTGTATATATGATCGGATAAAATGGTGTGCCCTCGCGTCGTTGTTGTTGAGACAAAGACGTACGGCTCGTGCAAAAGAAAAGCGAGTTAAAGCAGAAGAAGAAGAAGAAGAAGAAGCAGAAGAAGAAGGAGAGGAAGAGAACGACAACCGCCGACGAAACGCTCAAATCCACGGAGACAAAAGTTTAAAAGACGGTGTGCATGCGGGTAAATGTATGTGCTAGCACATAGTTCTACTAACATTGTCTAATAACAACGAAGAAAAAATTTAAAAAAAAAAGTAGAAAAACTAGAAAATTTCTAAAATTAAAACAAAACGAAAAGATGAAAAGTAGTGACAAATGAAGTTGATGACGATGATTATAATGTGTTTATTTTTAGAAAGATGTAATAGAGGTCGTTCGATAGTTCTTTTTCTTGCTGTCTATACTGTTTATCTCTCTCACACATTTCCTATCTGTTGTTGTCTTGTTCTTTGATGCATGTTTTCTCTACAATAACAATTACTATCACTTTTTCTCCATCGTCTTCGACGCGTTATATACATTACTGCACCCGTTCTTTTCTTTTTCATCCATATTTCTTTCATTCAATTTAATCATAAACTAATTCTAAGAATCAATCAAAATTGTATATATTTATATATATTTCTATGAAAAAGAATTTGTATCTTTATATTTGCGCAACAAATAAAAAAAACAAGTCTTATATAGATAGAATCGTTTCTGTCACGTCACAAAAAAAAACGGAGAAGTGTGCGCACATCCAAGATAGATAAAATATGCACGTCATCGTTCTCGTCGTTGGATCTTGAAAAAACACACCAGTTACATACAAAACGGCTACAGGGTGCTAAGAAGACTGTAGATATATATTTATATCTGTCTCAACTATACATATATATATAGTTAAGATAAAGAAGAGAAAAAAAACTAGAATAGTAACAATAACTCGATATGCATAAATCATGCTAAAATAACAACCGAACAGGTCCACATGAAACAGACATATAGCAAGAAATCTTCAATTACCACATTTACACACACCATTAACTTGCTACTACTGTTTAATGCCAATGCGTGTGCACGCGTATGTATGCACACTCTTTTGAAGACCTCTCAATAGAACCATCAATCAACGAACATCCGCATTATTGGTATAGTCAAAGAAAATGGAAAGTATAGCATATAAAAGAAAGATAAGAGGAGGAGGAAAAATTATTGTAGACAAAAGTATGCTTAACTGATGAACGGAAACAACTGTCAATAAAGCGATATAAAAGTCTAGTAGTAGACATTTACGAAAAAATTTAGTATCTCTATAAGAGACTAGAGAAGAAAAAAACAACTAATATATAACAGAAACTAATATATATATATATATATATATATTAGTATTTATGCATCAAAACTGCGTAAAATTAGCTCAATTTTACTAAATAAGAAACATAAAATGTAACTTTTAGCACTAAGTTAATAAATCATGAACGCATTGACAATTTTTCTTCTCTTAACTTGTTGACTACAGAAAAAAAAGAAATAACAGATTCATCAATGCACGACAACGATGTCTTTAATGGTGGTAGTAGTTTCCGGCTCATCGTTAATAACGCAATTATGATCTTAAAAAAGACTTTGATTTCATCATTGAGCACGTTCTCAACTTCATTCATAGTGAACGTCGAATGAATAACATTTTATGCGTAGGATGATATAAAGTAAAGGGAAAAAAAATCATTTGATTCTATACGGAACACAGTTTTTTTTCTTTTTTTACAAATAATAGATATTTATTTATAACATTATTTATAGGAATATTAATTTTTATTATTGTTTTGCTTTTTTTTTCTTTATTTATTGTATTTAAACCATATATGTATATGTAAATCTTTCATCCGGTGCTGAATCTCCTTTATCAATGAAATTGAGCGAATCACATGTATACAAAGAATTTGCTGACAACCATTTAAAGTGCAAATTGATTCTTGCATTATTAATATGAAGTGATTGATAGGAAAGAGCAAAATGTAACTCATTATATCCACTATTTATAATAGTTATCGTTTCTTGATATAGCCAATGACCTGCATTTTCTAGACTATTCTTTAGTTGATTTTCACCTATATCAACTAAATAATCGAAACCAATCTAACCTGTTTAATAATTTCTATCAATATTAAGAAATAACCAATTAAATTTTTTTTTTCAATCCATGGTCCATTTGAACGTAGACAAAAAATATAAATTTATTTCATCACGTGCTATTTGCATTCTTTCTAAATCATTTCGTTGGCTATAATTAATAAGTTTCTCACTTTGATTACCATATTGTGAATGATTACGAGATGGAATGTCAAATAAATCATCTAAATAATATGGTGTAACATTATTCCATTGTGAAAAATCTTAACTGATTTGAATTGTTTTGGGTGACGAAGAAATTTTTAGTTTTGACATACCTTTAAAACGACGAATATAACTAAGAAGTTGATAATAATAATTATCTTGATGTCCACCAAACATTGGTTCGATATCACGTGAATATTCTTGAATAAATTCATCAACAAAAAAAATGTTGCACCTATTGATCATTGTTTACCAATAAAAGAATTTTGTGCACTTGTTTGAATAAAATGCTGTGCAATCCATTCATTCCAACCAGTGACAAATATAAATGGTGGAACGATTTTTAATGCTTGTTCCCACTGTTGAGAAAAATAAGAACTTATCATGGGATTTATTTGTTCGGATTCGTGTTGAGTTGGACTATCGTATAATTGACCAATATTCATAACAGGATGACCAACAGCTGTTACACATGTTTGTTCAAGGTGTCCGTATTCATTTAAACCACGTCCTTGTGGATAATTCTCAATTCATCGCCATTTATTACGACCATCACCATACCATTCTTGATCTTTTGCTCATGTCCATGATTCACGTATAGTAAAAAAAATTTAATAAATACGATGGAAATCTATCTGGATTTGTAAATATAAGTGGTTTATTATTCAAAAAAAAACCATAAATCTCTATAGAGATTTTGACTCAATAGATTTTCATATAATTTTCGAACTGTTTATTCACTAGATGACTATGTTATAAAGCAAAATTTTGGTGTACGTATTAATTTTGATCTCATATCCATATAAATATTACCAATTTTTGACGATATATTATCATGTGTAAATGCATTTGTACCATCGCAAATTAACGTGTCAACACCAGCATCAGCTAACATTTGCGCATGTTTTCTTATAATAAATTCATTATCCATTAGATAATAATTTAAATATGGTTGGCCCTAATGATGAAATTCATATCATGGACCGCATGCAGCATTTATTAAATTTCCTCCAGATGCAGACAAAATTTTTGTTACATCATATGGACCTGTTTTAAGACCAGCTTTATTTTCAGCCCATACAAAAAATTAGAAAATTCCAATAGATTTATTTGGTTTTATATCGTCCACTTGATCATATGCAGATAATATACGACCTAATCCATCACATGTTGTCCAGATATCCGGTTTCGTTGTAAACGATGGATCCACAGACAATACAATTATCCATTGAAGAATGAATACAAATACAGCATACAACATCTTTCTTTAATTACACTATCAATATACTCGTTTTTATCTAACGTCAATCTTTATATAAATGTATAGATACGCATATTGATCAAAGATAAGTGCGCAACTTTATATTTATGTAATATTGACGCGATAGGAAAACGAACACATATATATAAAGTTTTACAAAATTCTATATTTCTTTTAATGCTTACAATAAATAAAATTTCCTATTGATTAAATTATTTTAAGAAGACAATTGATTTCTATATTCATCACATTTCCGCGACAATGATTTTATTACTATAAAGAAATTTCAGAGATGAATGAATACTAAATCATCTTTTTTAACTACATAATATATAATTTTAATAGGAAAAACAAAATTTCTTTTATATTTCATTACTATTATATTTTTTATTTAAATAACTCTTTATATAAGTTTACATAGAGCAAAAGAAAAGTCTGAAAAAAAAACTCATTTTCTTTTGTGTCTCTTATCTGATATTTCTTTATATAAAATAAGAACTTACCTCATTTATAATGAAATTTGCTTCAGTAATATTTTCACTTAACAAATTGATGTGACTTTTTCGAAGATCCATCAGTCGATCAATGTCAAGACTTAAAGAATTTCTAGCGGCTGTCACATCTGTCGGTTCCATCGTCTATCTGCAAAACAAGATAATGACAACAAACACATCTTAGATAAGTTAGAACAAACAAAAAAAAAAGAAAAAACTTTCTTTTTTTCCCTTTTCATAATCTAAGCTTGTTTCTGCTCTGTTTATCTGTAATATAGTCTCAACCACAGTTTTATTCAAACGCAATACTTAGGATGATCTATGTGTTGCCTGCTTTTCTTTTACCATATTCTAAAAGCAATTTTGTTGAGTATGTATATGATCAGATTCAGAGGAAACTCATACTCATAACAGAAAAAAAATGACAACAATGAATAGATCATTGAATCTTGCTTTTTTTCATCGTACACAATAAAAAGAAGAAGAGGCGAAAAAAGCTCAATCTTAAAGATATAAGAAAAAAAAGAAAACTGGTCCTACTGTCATTTTTTTCTTTTATCCATTCGACTAAATGAAGAGTCGTTGTGACGATGCCATAAGCGATCATTCGATTTGTCTTCAAGCGTACAAGACAAGACCGTGCACATAAACAACACCAAGCGAAAAAGAGAGAGATGACGAGAAAAAAATGCAAAATGAGCGCAATAACACGTTCTCTTTGATCCTTAAGTTTCATGGGACCACTCCATTAAGCATAGAAATCCATCATCTTACTGGTGAATAAGAATATTAATATAAAAGCGAGTGCATACTAGCATTAAAATGTTCTTGAAAAGCAACGAGAAATGTCATATATATATATATATATTTATTGAATCAGAAAGCAAAAGTAGAAAGATAAAAAAAAACACAATTTCCGCGATCTGTCATAGAAATATGATCATGCTTCTTTAATCAAGGTTGACTTTAGTTATAATAAAATTCTTCTTTCATTTTTCAAAGATAATCGGATTTGAAAAACGTAAAGAAATTATATACATTTTTATACAAAACAGGTAATTATAAATCGTTAATGTTTTATATGTTGCTCATTTATAACTGTCATTTGCCAACTAAAATGATATTTTAAAGATGGCATACAAATAAAAGAAAAAAATTTATATGACAAAGTCACTTGTCAAGTAAAGTGGAAGAAGTACAGCAATGATAACTATCGTCAAAAAAAGATGTGTCTATCGTTAGACGTTATTAGTATGTCTAGAGGGAAAAGAAGCGCGAAGAAGAAAAAGGAAAAAGAGAAGACAACGATAAAGGCTTTCACGGAATCCTCTTGGTTCTATTTTTATTTATTTTCTATATAGATTCTACATTGTTTGCTTTCTTATTTTATTTATCAATGAGTCTCTGTTATTTGTATTCCAATATTGATGCGAAAATGAAGATTATGATGAAGAATGCAAAATGATTTTCTTTTGTTCCTGCCTTGTGAATATAGATTATCTATTGATTGATTAGTTTGATTCATTGATTTATCAATACATAGACTAGCTAGAGTAAATTAACCAAGAATAAAACTTATTTGTTATTTTCGAGAGCAGAAAACAATTTTTTATTGATTTGATCTTGTCTATATTTCAGTTATTATGATATAGAAATATATGTTATATGAAAAGTCAATCGCAGATTTGTTTCCCGCAAACCATACTGAAACTTTTCATGATCATGCATTGATGAAAATGTTTTTTGTATGTCATATAGAAAATAGGAAATAGAAAATATGTTGTCATTTTCGTTGTTTTTTGTCTTATCAGTCGCCTAAAAACACAGTAATAACAAGAAGAACATTACTCTAATTCAACTGCCATATTAACGCTTTAAGTAGTCGACATTTTTCACCATATGGTTTCGAAAGGTTTGTAGTCTGTTATTACTATTATAATATAACCAATAATATTGTTATTGAAACCAAAAATTTTAACAACAAATTACTCATTAAAAAATCATCGACAAATTCTCTAATCGAATTTTTCTTTTCATATTTTCTATAAGTTTATAATGATAAAATATATTATTAATCTATACTGTATTCCATTAGGAATAAGTATTGAAAAAAAATTATTTTTCTGTTAAATCCCACATTGAACGATTTGTGTGGGTTTTTTTTTATTTAGAAATTTCTCAGGTGACTATATTTGGTTTGAATTAATAATTATATTTCAATATACTTACTATTCATATATGTTTTTTTTTTTGTCTGACAAGTATTATCTTTTGAAAATTAATCATAGAGATTTTGAAGATTAGAATAAAGAATAGAACAAAAAAAGAAAGATGAATGATTATATGCAAGAATGTTAAGCAGATATATTAAAAATCTATTTGTGAGATTTGAAAAAGAAAAAGATTATACAACAAATATGTGAATCATTATTAATAAGATAGATACAAAATGGGTTCTGGATCTGAACAAATATTTTAAAATTTTAAAATTAAATTCTAATCTATAGATATATATGTGAATGAATGGTTTTGATTATTAATTAATTTTAATGACATTGAATAAAATACGGATCATTTTAAAAATCGAAAAGTACTGAATGATCTTAGCTTTAATGAATAATACTTATAAATTTTATATTGTTACACTTGATTATATGAAAAAAAAGAAAAAAATGAATAATGAATCCTTATAATTAATTGCAGATCATGTATAACAAACGGAAATGACTGAAACGTGTTTTTATGGAATTTTTTTCCTACTAACTAGAAAAGTATTATATGTTTTAATGAGATATAAATTTCTATGACAGTGAATAATTGTTATTAGAATTTCATGTTCAAGTAAAAATAAATTTATAATTCGACGCATCTTTTTAATTACTTAATAATGGATGATTGGAAAGTATTTCCGACGAGTCAAAAATTACAATTTAAGATTGGCTTTTTGGAATATATGATTAGATATTTTATCTTAGTTTCTCTGCGGCAGTAATAAAATAATCTTTGAGAAGCTGAAAGAATTAGTTTGGACGGAACTTACGAGTCGATGTTTCCGGTAAATATGTTGATTCATTTTAGCTTGCTTGAGAGTGTTTCAAACGTGTCAAAAAGTAAAAATAGCACTCAAAGTTTTGTCCTTTTTTTTGAATATGACCTAATAAATTTTGTGTTTATTTTTATTCAAGAGTAATGAAAGACTTTTTGAAAGATCTGAAAACTTATTTTTAATGATGATGCAAATGGTTTTTGTTTATCCTGTAAGTCCAAATTCAAACATACTGAAAATCTTCGGAGGCAATCACTTTGTAGGGCGAACATTTTTCTTCAAAATGGGGTATTGAACTAAGCTGAAGCTTCTATCCAAACATTTTTCAACAGCTTTTATCGACGTGAAACAGTTGTTGCTTTTTCAAACATGAGTATTTAGAAAAAAAAGAAAATCGAAGTGCCTTGCCGAAAGTTTAAAAATATTTTCAATAGTGTATTTTATAGAATAACTCTTGATCTACAAGCTAGTATATAAATAAAGATCCGAAATTTTTCGTTTAAATTAATTTTTTAAACTTTTCAAAGATTATTTCATTGAGATAAAAGTTCTAAGCTCATGTTTGAAAAGAGCATTCTAACTTGTAGCAGTGGACTCGTCGCAAAATATCTTCTAGCAAGTGAAGAGTGAGCAAACATCTTGTCTCAAAACCTTGCAATCATTCATTATATTCAGTCCCGATGTATAGTTTGAAATTTATTCTTTTACAAGAAGAATATCATATTTTGGATTTTTTTTTTACTTTAAAATATGAATATAAATCATATCATTTATCTGATAAAAATGGTTTTATAGCTTCAATGGCTTGTTTAGAATGTTCAATGAGTAAACTATGATTAGCTCCATGTATAATATTTAATAATGAATTTTTATATAATTGATGATAACGATATGCATTTTCAACAGGTGTTAATGTATCTTTATCACCCCATACAATTAATATAGGTATATTTAATTGTTCAATAAATTCAATTGTTTTTAATGATAATTGAAAATTAAAAAAAAATATTGTTGAAAATAATGAACGTAAATAACCAGGATGTTGTTTACATGCTTGTTCAAATAATTTTTGATATTGTTTATATTCATCTTTATCTGGATATGCCCATTGTGAACGTACACTTTTATTATCACCACTTTGCATAACTAATTTAAAAAGCATTGGACCAATAATTGGTATAGATAAAATAGACATTAGAAATATTGATGGTCTTACAACATTAAGTCCAACTGAACAACAAAGTATAAGTTTTGAAACTTTTGATGGATAGAGTTCAGTAAAACGTTGTATTATAACACCACCCATACTAACACCAAATAGATTATATTTTTCATATGGAAGATTTAATGCATATAATAATTCAGCTAATTGAGAAACAAATAAATCAACATTCATTGGTACATATGGAGCATCGGACCAACCACGACCATATAAATCAAATATTAAACATGAATGATTATCATCAACAAGTGATTGAAAAACATCTTGCCAAATTTGCATTGGAATTGAAAAACCGTGAACAAATATATTTAATTTCGATGATGATGTTGATGTTCTTGTTGATGATCGATAAATATAATGAACTTTACCAAATGAAAGTTCTATAAATTGATGAGTTCCCATTTTTGTTAATGGAAGTGGAAATGTATCATTACATGAACGTGATAAAAGGCCATATTTAAAAGTAAGACGTTCACGAAATTTATATATAAATCCAAAACCTGCTGCAATTAAAATTGTAATGATATAATACATCTACAATTGATTTAATATCTTCACCGAAATTCATGTTTAATGAAAAAAAATCAATAAATTCATCTTTTTTCAGACTTTTATCGAATAATAAATAATTGTTCATACATCAAATAGATTTTTCGTTCTTTTAAGTGTGCTAAGATAAAAAATGAATTAGAAGTAATAAATTAAATTTGTGCTGACCGTTCAAAAATTTAATTGAATACACTGAAGATCATTGTATCGTTTACAATTTACTTTTATAATAAAGTGAATTGGACTAGACATCAGTAAGATCGAATTCTTTTTGTTTTCTTGAATACAACAGAAAAACAAAACTTAGCTAACCAACAGTTCTTTACCTCTGTAAATATATTCGGACTATTTTGTTACTATACTTTAACCCATTTCTTTGACATTTATTTCAGCAAGCTCAAATCTAGTATTATACCACCTTATGATTAACTATTAATCAACGAAAAATTTTATCTTTTTCTAAAAGAATCAAAATTCAAGTATTTTCAATTTTTTTATATTCAAAGACAAAAACAACAGACCTACTACGGACTCTTTCAAAAAACCTAAATAAACATTTCATCGCAATAATTTTCTTTTTTTTTTATACTTCTCCTTTGATTATTTTTCAATCGCATAAATAAAAACTAAACGAAAAAAGAACATCTATATATCATATACATATATGCATTCTCAAATTATCGTTCTTTGTTTTGTCTTTTTGAATATATCGTGAAGATAAAAAAGAAAACAGAAAAAAAAAAGATGTATATGTATGTATGCATGTGTGAGTGTGTGTTAAAGAAAACAAAGATATTCAAGAGAAAACAAAACCAAATAAACAAGACAACCACCGCAGATCAATCAACTAAAAAACACATCATAAAGAAGAATAAATGAAGACAATTTACATTCACTGTCTGTTTGTCTTTTGTTCTTTCGTCCTCACACGCACGCACGCACACAAACACAAAACTCAAGTAATTATTAATAAAGACAAACAACAAAAGAAAATTATACACAAAAAAAAAAAGAAAAAAAAAAACAAATCCATCTCTCTCTCTCTCGCTCTTTTTTTGCTGTCAGATTTATTGTATTCATGATGGATGTCCATTCGAAGTTTTTGAAATATTTTGATGACGTATTGTTCGATATTTTTGTACATATGCATCTATCATTTTACTTATTCGTATACGATCAACTTCATTAGCATGCGTAGCCTAAAAAAAAATTTTTTTTTTTTCTTTTTTAATAATATAAATATAGATTTACTTTTGTAACGACTTTTTTCATTATTTCTTTGTATTCATCTTTTGTAATATCATGTCTTTTAAATGCTGGTTTTAAAGCTTCTTTAGCAATAGCAGCTATTTCACTTTGACGTTTTTCACGTTGTTTCCTCTAAAAAGATAATCGTAACTTTCATGATATTAATTCATATTTTAATAACGAACTCGTTCGATACGTTCAAGATGTTTAGCTGAGATTGGAACAGTATCGTCTGTTTCAGTTGCTGTTGTTGTTGGCACTAAATTTTAAATTGTTAGAAAAAAATTCTAGTGATTTTTCTTTTTTTTTAACTTACAACTTGTATCATCTTGTTTTTGAATTAATTTACTCATAGCTTCAGATAGTTTACCAAGCATAACAGCTTCACCTGAATTTGAAGTCGGTGGTTTTGTATTTGTTATTGTTGATGGTTGACTTGAAACAAGTGTTGGTAATGTAACAAGTGATGGAAGAATAATTAAGTCTTCTAAAAAAAAAACAACAAAAAAATAATACATTTATTTTCTATGATTCAAATTAATAAAACCTGTTGGTGCTTCTTCAGGTTTTTGTGATGCTAGCCATTCAGTGGTATAATGTTTTGATGTTGTTGAACGTCGTTCATCGTTTGTAGTAAGTTTTTTTGTTAATGATGAATGATCTTGTCCCTTTTTGACCATAGTTGATATCAATGATGGTATATCTTGAGGACTTTCAGTACTTTTATCACTTGGCGTTGATATTATTGTTGTTGGATTTGTTCGATTATCAATTTGTTGTTGCTGTTGTTGTGATTGTTCAGTAGATGAATTTAGTGATTTATTTGATGATGTTGTTGGTGGTGCACTTAATAAATTTGATATACGTTCATCTAGCGATGTTCGTCGTAAATTATCATCGGTTGAAGATTTGTTCGTTGTTGTTGAGTCAGGTTCTGTTAAAAAAAAAACGTTGAAGATTTGTATATAGATATATATATATCAAATGTTAATTGATGAAAATATTTACGAGTAGTTGATGACTCTTTTTTAGTTTGTTTTTTATGTCGAGATGATAGAGGAGGTGTCATATGATTTGTATGTGGAACTTTGTACAATGTATATGGTTTTTTTGTTGGTGATGGTGTTAGAGACGGAACAGAAGTTATAGTCGATGTCGTTGTTGTTGCTGCTGCTGTGACTGTTGTTGTAGTAGTTGTTGTTGTTACTGCTGCTGTTGCCGTTATTGTTATGACTTTCATTGATTCTTCTTTATTGTCGTTTTTTTCAGTTGAAGTTTCAGGTATTGTTAAATTATCAAGGTCAATAGATTTTACTGGACTTTGTTCTTGTTCTTCTTCGAGTAACATTTCTTCCATAAGCATGTCATCAGCTGTATTACCGTTAGTTTTTGATGTTATTGTTGATTGAATAGAATCATTTGTATTTGTTTTGGATTCAACTTTAGCAGGAATAGAAGGAACTGGTAATGGCTTGACTGCTTCAGGTTGAACTTGTGACGATGATAATCGAACGGGAGGTACTTCTGTAGATAAATCTATTATAAATAAATATCTCGTGAGAAAACAATCAACTATGATCGCTCTATATTATTTTTATAATTAGAGATATGCAGAATTACACTACCCTGTAGGGTAGGAATAAGCATGTTGCACAGTAGAATAAGAGTTAAAAAATTTTCCTCATTGAGAGTACCAGGCATGAAAAAAAGCTGGCCCTTCATATGTCTAAGATGATACCATGATACTATTTTGCTATTTATCACTGTTAAAGGAGAGTGACGTAAAAGTTTTGTAGGATAAGACAAGAGTAAATGTTCCATAGGATATGTGAGTGTAAAGGTAGAGATTCTATTGAGAGGGAAACAGCTGAGACTTCAGACTTGAAGTCTTTTAAAGTTTGATGAAAATTTTAAATCTCTGCTTAAATTTTGCAATTTTCCCCCTTCAGCTTCTATGAGTTACGATAAGAAAATTTTTCTTAGTAGTCTACCCTGCACATCTCTACTAATAATGAAAACATGACCTTGTTCTTCATTTTATAAGGACTACTGAATATTAACTAGTTTTGTATTACTACAGTTATGTTTAATCGGAAAACTTTAGTTTTTATAGTTATAAAAAAAACTTACGTGTCAATCCAGATGCAGTTTCTGTGGTGACTATTTGAATTAAATTACTACGTGAACGTTGAGATCCACCATTGGTATTAATAAATGATGGTCCTGAAGATGAAATTTTGTTTGTATTATTTATAGGAATAACAGGTGTATTTGTATCATTCATATTCTTTAGACGATTATAAATTCGATTACGATCTTCTGTTGATGTTTCATGTTGATTTGATTCTGTATTATGAAGAGATGAATTTCCATCAGTTGTTATGATTTTTGAAGGAAGACGAGGTGGACTAGAAAAATTTGAGTTTGTTGTACGACGATCAATATTTGATTGATGTGTTGAAGATGAACAATCACGAGATGAATATTTTGATGATGCATATGAATGGTAATTACGTGATCGATATGAATGATAATCATCTCTTTTTTCAGAACGACATGTTGATTTATTATGAGATGAATTTGAAGATTTTTCATCTTTTGAATCAAATGTCTTTTTATGATTATTTGATGTTGAAGGTGATGACGAAGATTTTGATGATGAAGACATTGAGGATGATCGATGTTTATGATGATGTTTAGATTTTTTTCGTTCATCATTTCGATAGGATTCTTTATGTTTTGATGATGAGATTATGTCTATATTTGATGATGATTCATTATTGTTCACTGTTGTTATTATAGATGAATTAGGTGATGAAGAACGAAGACGTTTTCGATCAGAAGAATAATTATTACGATGAGGTGATCTTATTTAAAAATACAAACGAAATTTTTTAGATGTGGAGAAAAAAAATAACGAACTTACTTTGATCGGTGGTCCGAATGGTTATTATTATGTTCTACAGGGCTTTTACTTTTCCGTCGTGATTGTTGGGACTCATTCGTTTGTAACGACGAAGATTTGTCTGAATTTGATGATGCATTCGTATTATTGATCACAGGGTTGGTTGCAGTTCTAATATAAGATAAGTAATGATTACATAGAAAAATATCGGAAGTCGTTTAACTTCATATTATGGCTACGAATACGTCCCTGTGAGGCCAGTAGTGAAGCCAGAGGGCTTAGTCCCCCGCCTCTCCCCTCCAGTCCAAAATCCTAAGTCCGCAATAGTATCAAACTAAGAAATATTCAAAAAAGATATGAATTCATGGATTACTGATGAAGAGGTAAGGCTGTCTCTATGGACTTTTTACTAACAGCTGAAAAGAAAAAGTTTTGTCTATAGAAGATTTATTAGATAGCCCTAAACACTTCAACAAAAACAAGGATGTCTTTTTCCGCATATGCGATGTCCAAAACAATCAGCGCTTCACTATAGGGGAACGAAGTAATTGAGCTTGTTTGTGGAAAAAGAATATGTCGAAAAAGACATACTCATTTTCATTGCAACTTTCAGGGCTATCTAATAAATCTATCTATAGACAAAATTTCAAGTCTAGACTTTTTTCAGTTTTCGTAAATACCTTCATCAAAGTCACAAAAAACAAAACTTAAGAACGAAAGAAATATCTTGATACGATTCGAATATGAGTTAAGAAAAGGCAATTAACTTGATTGACATTTATTGTTTGAATTTGCCAAGAATAAAGAAAAAAAAGAAAAACTGAACAATTTTGAAAGAAACATCAAAATAAATTTCCTTTTCTTTCGAAATATGCACGATCTATTTCATATATAATCTTAAAAACCACTAACATAAAACGAGAATTTTCTACTGTTGGTTGAATCTACAATCAAACAAAAACACATCTTTAATCACATAAATTAGAAAATATTTTATTAGTAGAATCAATAGAAAAACGTTTAAAAAAATTAATCATGTCGTATTTTTTTTGTTGTTGGTTTGTTTCTTACTCATAGTAGTCATCTTACTTTTTTTATTCTTTTTCTTGAATATTGTTTTCAAATTAAATTCTATAGTAAAGCTTATAAATCTATGTATACTATTTCTTTTATCGATACTCATGCATTTTATTAGTTGAACTAATGTGTTAGTATTATTGTAAAATGGCTTTTAATAAGACAAATGTTTTATGATATAATAAGGAAACGTTTTTACTTTCAAACTCGATTGGATTTTACAATCAAGACAATATGTCAATTCAACAGAGCACAAAACATCATATGAACATTTCTGTTCCATATAAATAGTCATAACTCTTCAGCAGTAACCTATAAGTCCAAATCCTTTCGAATTTTACCGAGATCTATTCTTTACTATAATATGAATTCAAACGACTTCTGACAATTGGATATATATATTTCTTTTTAAGTGAAATTGTTTAGTCTTTAATGGAAAACATACCCATTGTTAATCCGAATGGAATCTTGCTTTTGATGTTTTGCATTTTTCAACTGTTCAATTTCCTTATTATTATTATCATCGTCATCATCAATAGCAAATGGATCGTACTCTTCATTGCCTCGATTTATCACAATAGATGACGATGATTTTCGTTCAGGAGTATTATAACGAACGGGTTGTTCCTGAATCGACATCTATAATGAAAAAAAAAATAAACAAAAAAAAATACAAATCATTATCCATAGAATTTTCTTGTCTTTCAAATAATATTATCTCTAAATATAATTATTTAATCATTTAATTGTAGAAAGTTTATTAGGGTTTCTTGGGTTTTCTTTATTACTGATTTAACAAACAGAAAAAAGCAGACACAACAAACACATACATATAAAACCGGAAACATATATATATACATACACACATATGAATTATAACAAAGAATAAAACTAAGATTTGCTTTTTTTTTGTTTATCTTCATGATATTTCAATATGTGGTCTAAAATAATCAAAAATAATTTTTTTTTTAGAAAAAAATTTTCAAACAATTACATTTACCCATGTATTCGAACATTTTGTAAATTATGAAGACGTTCTTGAGAATTAAGAAGATTATCAATAAATGATGGAGCAATTGAAGATATTGAATCTGATGTTCGAGTTGTTGTTGTTGATGATCGTGGTATTGGACGTGGCCGAAGTGGTGCATCAGTTCGACGTTGAATACGTGGCAATTGATTAATAGGTATTAGTGGTTGTACTGGTGCTACTCGTGGAGGACGAATTGTTCGTGATGGTACACGATCAAGTGTTGGTGTTGTTCGTCGTATACTTAATTCTCGACTTATTGATGGTTCTGTATGACTACGAGATAATATTGGTATCCCACTTGCAGCTATTCGACGAGCAGCTTCACTAGAAACGTAAGAAAATTCATTTTAAGAAAATGTTTCTTTCTTTTTTTATCAAACTTCGGTGTAATTATAGTTCGATTTAATGGTAACATTGAGCTTGTTGTTGCTGTTGTTATTGATGATGATGGTTCATCTTCTCTAAAATTCATTAATAAAAAAGATTTGAAAAAAAACAAGAGAGTAAAAGAATACAAACAGAGCAACTGGTTCACCATTAAAGATAGATAATCTTGGTGTATCATGTCGATTAGGAAAATTTTGTGCAGTAGTTAATGTTGTACTATCTCTTGTTCTTGTCTAAATAAGAAAGAAAGAAAAAAAGAGAATTTCATTTCTATTTGTTAATCATTTACATTAACATTTTCTATTCGTCGATTAACATTATTAATAACTTGTCGTTGACGTCTTTGACGTTGACGTTGTTGTTGCATTAATGTTAAGCGTCTTGTAGTTGGTACACGTCGTCGTCTTGGTTGTCGTTGACGACGACGACGTGATCTTGTATTAGGTGATGTTGTACGTTGATTACGTACACCACCTGTTCCTACAATAATGTACATATACACAAATTCAAGGATTAAGAAAGAAAAAATGTTTTACTACATACTCATTCGTGCTGTTTGTCGTACTCGTGCTTGTCTAACAGGCACAGTAGTATCAGCAACCTGATTGAGAAAAGATTATTTATGAGAAAAATATTCTTCAACGATCCCAAATGTAATGACAGAGATATTTTAATTTCGTATATAAGAAGTTTTTTTCTTTCATATAGTTTGATAGTAAAAAGCACTGCAGCTCTGTAGTATTTGATTATTCTTTAACTGATAAGACCTCCTTGAATATTAGATCACATTTTGTCTTTAATGTGTATTGTTTTTTCTCGTGTACTCTAATACTGAGTCGTCTCTATACTCTATATTAGAGAAATATACAAAAAGTGATCAAACAAGAAAACAACTACAAAAACAATTTCATCAAGTTTTTACTTCAGTAAGTATTACTTTTGCTTATTCGACTTAATCAAACAAAAATAAACTGATTTAAAACGATGCATTGTGTTGCAAACAAATTCATGAATAAAATGTTCCATAAATGGATTCAAAAGATGCAATATGAATGAAGATAACCAGGATAATTATCTCAAAAAAATGTAATAAAATAAAGACTTGATGAATTTAATTCTGTATTATACTCTAACATGTATAAACGGTGAGTCATTAGAAGAGACAAGAAAAAAAAAGACAATATATGATCACATATCATAACAAACAGATGTTATCGAAATTTTATTAGTTGAAGAATGATGAAATATTGTTTTTTACTATTAGACCTTATGAAAAGTTATTTCTTTTTTTTTTTTTTATAACGAATTAAAATATCTCCAGTACTACTTTTAATATGTCGTAAATAAATTTAATCAAACCTCAGTATCAGTTTCAGTTGTATTCAATGTATCATCAAAAAGTATATGTTGAAGTTCATCAAGATCACTATCTTCATATAATTCTTCATCAGCTGATAATTGATCAACTTCACATAATGGACACATCCATTCTGGTGTTTCAGGTACGCCTGATAATTCCAAACAAAATGTATGATAACTAAAAACAAGAACAAACTGTTATTTTGAAATAATTTTTTTTTTGTTAAATCTTACCCATTACCACATTCATCACATATTAATAAAAGATCTTCTTGATCATCTCGACCACAAACACGACATGTTATATCATCATCAATCAGTTCAAGAAAATCATCTTCTAATTGAACTTCTGCACGATTATCTTTTACTTTCACCTTGATTAAAATAAATTTTCATTTAAAAGAAAAACAAAAAAAATTTAATTTTAACATACACTATCATATGGTTTTGCACTAGTAAATGAATTTTTCTTGAAAATACGACGAAAAGCTATACGATCAATTGGGCATGAATTATTTTTCTACACAAAACAAGACAATTTTATTAATAGAAATAATTGTTTCTTTATCTTACTTTAGCCCATTGAGTAATACAAGTCCAACAAAATGAATGTTCACAATTTTCTGGTATGCCAACTTCTTGTGTAGCAAAATTTTCCATACATATAGCACATTGTTCTATTGACACAGCAGTTTCAACTGTGTTTGGGATTGTTTGATCAGTTATCATCGATTCCATTGGCTCCGATTCTTTGTTCTTCTTATCTTGTTCACGTTGTCGAGAACGAGTTGTCTTTAAAAAAATGAAATGTTAAAGTAATTTTACCTTTGTTTTTATATGTATGAACTTACCACACCAATACTAATATCCTGAAAAAACAAAAGAATTCATTTTAAAATGCAAAAAAAAACAAATATAAATGAATTTCATACATCATTTCGACGGAGATACTTTCTCGGTTGTTCATCTGTGGTTGTTATTGCATCAACATTCGACAATTCGTCAATGGGCGTTGATTCGGACATACTTAAAATGAAAAATTTTTTTTAATGATATTTTGTTCTTTTCTGTTGGAGATATCCTATGGAATGAAACTAAAGTTAATCAATAATATTAATGAGCCATATTTATCAAGAAAATAGTTCTAGAAAAAATTTCTCTTCTAATTTATTTACTTGTTTATTTATCTCGTTGTTCTGTCATTGTTTAAGTTAACTATTCAATCATATGTTCGTGTCCTTCGATACGCACATTAAATAGATGTCGTTTATCAACTCCGTACGAGATCGACATCTGGACGATGGATGCACTGGCATTCTTCATTGTACAATGAAAAAAAAAAAAATGTTTAGAATTTTTCGATTACGATTCACTATAAATAGAGATTTGCGAAAGCAAGTTTTTTTTGTTGAAGTCAGGTCTCAATAGCTTTTTCTCCACCAGTTTTGGTCTCGAGAAAAGTATTCCTGAGTTTATTCGTATTTCGTCTAAAAAAATTCTTCAATACCTAGTTTTTAATTTATGTAGACGATGATAGAATTCTGCATAAGGTAAATTAAATATTTTGCCAAAAGCTCAGTTAAAACATATGAATTTTTTGTCTGGTATTTACTGTACAAACTGATGCATTTTGAAGATTCTAACGACGTCTTATCAAGTACTATAGATATGAAAAAAAGTCCGAGTTGATTTTGACTTCGACTGTTTCGTGCCCGTTTGTCTCTGCAGGACCTCGATAGAATCTTCAAGCGGAACGCATAATGAAACAGTCAAATCTATTCGTTCGAAATGCCTGTTCTGGCGTAGATCTATTCCGTAATAATCTTTTTTCTGAAATTAAGGATTTTTTTCTCAATGTGAACGAAAAAGTCAGTGTTGCTTTATTTTTTATTAAAATTATTTCGAAGTAAATTCAATAAAGTTGTTTTATCGCTAATTTTATTTTAAGATTTATGAGAAAACATAACGATCTCCTTTAAAACAAACAAAAAAAGAAGTCAAATTCGTATTATGAATTTCGTTTGTTTTAATGATGTTTATTCTTTGGATTATCTGGCGATGTAGCCCATTGTTCTGCAGCCTTCTTAAATGCATCTTTTTGTGCTATACCGGGATGATCTTGCTTGATTCTAATTAAAAAAAAATAAGCAAACACTATAATCAATAAAGCTTTTATTTTAATGAATTTACTTTGATACAGTCGTTTTCATGTAAAGATTAAATCTACTGGGCGTTTTTCCTTTTTGTTTATGTGATTTCTGATGACCATGTTTCTTTACTGAAGATGATGATGATGATGCAGGTGAAACTGATCTTTTGGAAACTCCAGATTTTATATGCTTGGTTCCATGTTTTGGACCAGCTTTTTTTCCTTTAAGTGCTTTTGATTTATTTCCAGTTGTTGGTTTAGTTTTTTTTATTGATTGTTGTTGTCGTCCTTTGACCATATTTTATTAATAAATAAGCAAAAAGATAATATAGCAATTAAAATTTGTAATATCGCTCTATTTTGTCAATAGAGGTAAAGGTAAATAAGTTAGAAAAATGAGTATTCTGTATGAGATAAAATATGATAATTAAATCGTTAATTGAAGAGAAGCGCGAAACGTAAATCTCCGATAGGCGCTTGAATTTAATTGAAAAAATATGTTGTTCAATTATATTTACATCGATCAATTGTTGTTAAATAAAAGATTACGAAAACAAAAATTTTGCAAGACGGAATTTGTTTTCTTTGTTTTTTATGATAGACTAAAAAGTAAGTAACTGTTGAATCGGGAATCATTATTAATCTTCCTTAGAAAACGTAATTGAACTATAAGCTTATTTTTTGTGAGAAATATTAATTTTAAAAAGCTGTTTTTAGAAAATAACGAATTTTTATGAAGTTAGACCAACGATTTTCGAGGCGAAAGAATTCTAATCTATAGGTTTTTAGTCGAAATTCTTGAGTTCGTTTTTTCTCGATCAGAGAAAGTCTATTTCTCGAGATACAGTCAGGTTTTATAAAACTTATCTATTGTTTTAAAGTGAATCTTCGTTGATTCAAAAAATCGAACTCGAACATTTCGACAAGCTATCTTTAGATTCAGATTCCTCAACATCGAAAACCTTTGATTAAGTTTTAAAAGAATCGTCTTTTTTCAAAAAACCGCTTTACTTTGATCAGAAGTCGCGAAAGCAAGAGTGGCGGTGTACACCTTTCAATCTTGAGATTCTCCTGTGACTTCTGACTTTGACTTGAAAAAAATCGAATTGAAATTATTAATCTTATCGTAGTCATCGCTTAAATTTCTGCCTTATTTTTGAAAACCATATGAGCATCTCAAGGTCTCTTCTTCGTCTTGTGGTAAGATTTGGTGCTCAGATGCTGCATTTACCTCCTTGATATAACTTCTAATTGAATGATATGAGAGAAACTACTTCTTCTATGTGAAATAAAAGAATATTTTCTTCAACTTAATAAAAGTTAACGTGCACGAATAAATGTTTATTATTTTGAAATAGATTGATAAAATCTGCGTAACAAAAAAATGATTATTTAATTCTACATATTATTTTTATATTTACTTCGATAAGAAAAGAAATATACGAAAAATATTTTTCACAAAATTTGTAAATATTGTTCGATTGAGAATAAATAAAGAACTAGATGGTGTTTAAGTTTGACTCGAATACAAAATACGGTGCGAAGCACAAATGTCGTATGGTATCTCGTAAAAATCAAATAAACGTCTTTAGGATTTATCGCGAATCATGTTGTTCCTTCAAATATTCATGTTTTACTTGAACCAAACCTGTTTTTGTCGTTGTAGATCGAAAAAACGACATTTCCATCAATCAGCTGATCTATTTTTCGTCCAGTGTGAAAAGTAGAAATAACTACAATTCCACCCGACTCGAGGCCAAGTAGGGAAGTCAGCTATCTGCTACTGCATAATTTCAGACAATAATTAATTATCATCAGATGTTAACTATCATTTTTCATATTATCCAGAACATCGTGGAATTTGTAAAAACAGGTTTCAGATATGCACTTGCCACATTCGCAGGATCTCGCCAAGTTTTGTTTTTCGACTCAAAATGATGCCTGGGAGCTGAGGACGAGTGGCTGACTTGAATCGTAACTCATCCGTCGAGTGCAAGAAGAAGACGAAGAAAATTGCCAAGCAACTAAGCGAGTGAAAAGCAATAAGTCAACTACTGCATTTCGTGCAGTCGGAGAATTCTATCAACACATATCGATAGATTTTTTAAGAGCACTACTGATTGATCGTTTAATTATCTATATGATTTATTATTTCTGGTCAGCTGTCCTTACAGCTGTAATGAACTAAATTAGCTTATCGAATAGACTAGTGGCTAACTTGTTACGCTGTCTGCATTCAAATCACCTTAAAGATTCGAAATAACAAAATGTCTGCAAAAGGAAAGGCTCATTATAAGCAAAATCGTCGGTACTCTCTCATAATGTTCAATTTTATCTTACCTGTTCTGTCATTATGACTGCTGGAAATCTTTGAATAATAAAATAAAATCTTCTAATGCATTTTGTACTGTATATCATGCGGCTGAGCTAATCAAGATTTATTCATGTTTTATGTTCTCAAAAAGATCAGATTATACAGTGTTATCATCGAAAATACTCCATTCATTTGTTCGTATATTTAGCTGATCTACATGAAAAATCAAGCTGTTTTAGTTCTCGATCAAATGGTGTATGAACACATGAGAAGTGAGGATGTCTTGCCTATCCTTATGTAACGATATAATTGATGTTACATACCACTAATGAGGTTATGAGTGTGGGTACATATGCGTGTTGAGGAAGAGAATATCCACATTCAAGCCAGAAAAAGTAAATTTTGTCTTTACACTTCAGAGCGCATGGGGGAAACCTCCATTGCCCAGAACTGAATTAATAGTTTTTTCGTTTTGAATTTGTTAGCCACTGTATAATCACGCAAAGCATAAATTCACGCTAATAAAACATATGTCATATGTGTCGTATTTTATGATATGATGTGCTCGTTTTGGTACATTCCTCCCAACGAACTTGCGAGACATTCTGACAACATGGTTCAGATCTACTCATCGATATGTCAGCTATTTTTTTTTCTGGGAAATCAAATCACTAATTTTCCGGTTTAATCTGAATTATGAGTCCCTACTCTTAAAGTACGAGACTATAAGATCAAGCTGCGTCGAGTCAATTCGATCTCGATTAAGTCACTTCCAGGCGGTACAATTTCGATCATTGATCGATCTCTCAACATGTTCTTAACTAAATGTTGATCGAAAAGTAATCTAGAAAAAAGATATAGGAAAATGCATAAGTTTAGTATGTTTCGCCGTCTTCAGTGGTGTAACAAGGAATGTTTATGTCATGGGCCACTTCCCAGCTACATTATTATGAGGAGTAGGCAGTAACAGGCAACTAAAAACCAATTGGCTACAGTTTTTAAAAGTTCTAGTCACCAAAAACACTGATGTTTATTGAAGAGAAGTTCATTAATTTCAAGGGAGAACAAGCATACATCTCTAGTTGTGAAGTACGAAGAAGTACAGAAGTACCACAAAGTATCAAGAAGTACAGAGAAGTACAAATAGATGTGTGCCAGCTCTAACTTCACAGCTCGCAAGAGCTGAGTTGAAGAACTGGTAGACAGCCGTAGCTCATGTGAACAACAAGACCTGCTGACCAGCTTCAGCTCAGCGAACTGAATTGGAACTGTTACACACCTACTTATGGCTACCCGTATAGGATGGCCCTTGAGATCTTAAGGGTATTCGTATATGATAGCCCTTGAGGACTTATGGTGACCCTCTCAAATTTCTGGGAGCTGCAGGTGTCATACATCTTAGCATGAAAGAAGTACGCTTTTGTCGCAAGATTTTTCTCCACAAATAGAAGTACCAAGAAGTATGAAGAAGTACGAGAAGTATGCTTCCCCCACCCTTCAAGATTGCAAATAAATTATTGAAAAATATAGATGATTTAAGAACACGACGAATTAGAGTTACATGAACGCAACTAAAAATCTATTATTTATCTTTGGTAAAAAGTGTGAAATTTTTTCTTTTATGCGGATAATAATAGTTTTAAGCGAGGTAATTAAAATTTTTGCTGATGAATAGAAACCTGGAAACTTCCTCTATGATCACAAAAAAAATGAGATCATTTGGTTAAAATAGGGTGAAGATATGCAAGTGTTTTTTTGTTTGGTAGGTGACTTCTGGGACACCCTGTATATATGAACAAAATCTAGTTAAATTTAACAATAAATTTTATGAATTATTTATTTTTGTTTTATTGACCTTGCATAATTATTTAAAATTGTACAGAAATCATTTCATCTAAAGAATAGAAAAAAAACGATCAAATTTTTGTCATTTGTTCATCATCAACATACGTCGTAAATTGTTGTATAACACTAGGTGACATTCAATGCTCAATATTTGCTTTATTTTTCATTCCATTTATGAAAAAATTTTGAGTATAATGACGATGTATGTATATAATTGAGAAAAATAAGTTTTTTTTTACTCTTACTATTTATGTATATAATCCGTTTTGATTTCAAATAGTTATGAGAGTGTGGTACGAAAAAGAGTCTCTGTAAATTCACGTTGTTACAATAACTTTTATGTTCTTCGATGCGTAAATAAGCCAGTATAAGGTCGTCTATCTGCGTATTTTCTGATTCTCCCTTCTCACGACTTTTGCAACAGAATATGGTAACTTGAAAAGCGATCTTGATTTTCGGCAATGAAGCTTCAATGAACATAAGAATGAAAAATGATTTCATCTAAAGTCGATCCTGTTCTGTTGAAAGCTTTCATTTTTTCTGATAAAAAATTGGAGTCCAAGTCGTCAAAATAACCATTTTGCAGAATTTACTGAAGATGTAGGAAAACTCGTATTGAAGGTTCAAAAACCTTTGTCTCATCTCAAGACATGGATCTCCCTAACATAGTTCGAAAGAATTTCTAGCGACTAAGCGTTCTATAGAACATCGCAACACAAAGTATGGATAGTGTTACAGAAAAAAATCTGAATATCCTTCATTGTAGAATCTTACAAGATATTATTTTATTTTATTTTTAATTTGTTGGCTAACTTCAGAATAAAATACCTGAATCTATATTAATATGCAAGCAAAATTCAATATATCAACATATCAGATGTTGTTTCTTAATAACTAATTAACCTATCAAACTTCATTAATAAGAAAATGATGAAAATATGTATCAAAAATATTTATTTTATTGCTTGATTTATTCATGAAAATTGTCAATTTATTTCAAAAATTTGTTTCATAGTACATCATCTCATCATTTTGATATATAAAATCTTTCATGTCAGTTCAGTGATAATCTTTTATCGATCAGTTATGCCATTTTATGTTTTAAAATGTATTCGTGTTTAATTTTTATTGAATAACCTTATTGATAATCGACTACTACTTTTGTGATTAAACAGCTATGAATAGATATAGACATACTGAGATAATCTCTAATAACTTTCGACAACAGTTCGAGATTAACCACTGAAAAAATCCATCAGATATTCTGCTCTTCACGCAGGATTGCTTTGATTATTCCATTGACCATGTGATAGAAAAGTGAGATCGAAATACATGAAAAGTCCTGATTTATTTTTTCTTTCATGATAATATTGAATAGGCAAAAGCAGCTCATTTCCCATGATGTTGGAGTAATCGAAAAGAGAAAGGAATGAATACATAAAAACTAATTTTGAAATAATACATCTGCTTTTTGACATATATTGTCAAATAATCATTAATCAATATTACACAGCAAGCCACAAGGATCTATATTATCTGAAGGCAAGAATATTTCATAAAAAAGAATTTTAACTCTTCATTTTTCTGAAATTACCGATTTTTTAAAGTCAAGACTATGAAACATCTTTTTTAAGCTTCAAAATTCTATGCATTATTTCGTTTTTGTAATCGACCTAGAAATGATCACTTCAGAAATCATTCCGTGGTAAAAAGTTACCAATTTGATCAACTATTCGAATATATGAATACGAACAAAACTTGATACAGTAGGAAAGGTGCATGAGTCAAGTACGTCTGCACGCGGCATTTTCAATAGATTACATTACAAATAATTTGATTAGTTCAATAAAAAAATTTCATTCTATTCTTATCTTTAGTAGATACTTGATCAATATTTTTTGTTTAATAGGTCACATTTTAATATAGTTGTTGATTTGTTAACAAAAATTTTATTCATTTGAAATTAATATTTTATTAAATGATCTACTTATTATTAAGACTATCAATCAATTGACAATAATCTAAACAAACTCTGCACCATTTTTTAAAATTCATCTACAAGGATGTGGTTGTGCATCTCTACTTCATGAGATTTGTTTGTTTTTTTTTGTTTCCAGCAAAAATCGATTTTTTTTTACTGAAAACATAAATCATCCAATAAAAAAAACAATTGCAGTATCCAAATTCTTAACAGATTGTATGTGCATTAATCCATCGATTTAAAAATTTTCTCTTTCATTTTCATTCTATTGTTTTCTCGTTTGCCATATATCGGCTTATCTATTAAAAATCACGAGTACTGTATGAATCAGAGATTGATTAATGATAAATGTTTTTCAAAGTAACTATGGTTGAAATACAAAGTAAACCATTTATCTTGAATATATGAAATCATCATTGTACTCAGTGTTTCATTATAAGAAACGAATGAAATGTAAGTATCTAATATTAGAGCCATATAGAATATTCTAAATAACTTCGTTAAAAGAAAGTTAGTAAAAAAAATGCAACAATTAACTATTCTAACTTTCAATAGATTGTTTATAGTAAAATGAAGGAAAATCATAGCGATATCATTTATCAACTTTCACGATAATTACATTTGAGTACATGCAAAATTGTTTGTTATGTTCTTCTAAATTTGTCCGTAGTAAGTAAAAACAAAATTCATTGAACATAAAGATATTATAATAATACGATGTAGCCTCAATATATTGCGAATGAATTGTGTGTAAGTTTTTATTGAATAAGTGAATCCCTATATTTGTTCTTTTGAAGGTGCGGTCTATATCATATCAATGAATTATTTGTGAAGAATTAATTCGTTCTTTTCTTATTCTTTTAAACTCGGCTAAAATGAATAAATAGGAAGATAAGAATATACTTTATTACGAAAACCAAAAAAAAACAATAATCAATTAACAATCATTTTTTTTGTTGATGAAACGCTAGCACAAATCAATCATGATGAATTATTAGGAAAAAGACGTGCAGCTAGATGATTAAAAATAAAATAAGTTATTGTATGAGCAACTAATAATGGGAAAATTGATATATAAAAAAATATATAACCAATTATTGAAAACTTTGATTGATGAACAAATCTCAGAATAAATATAATAAAATTCGGTAAATTACAAACAAGAAAAATAGTCGACAATATTAAAACACATACAGTTATTTGTAAATCAACATTATCTTGTTGTTCTTTTTCGTTAGATTCATTGTTAGAATTATTTTGTTCAAAAGCTACGGCTACTAAAGCTTCGATATCATCTATAAAATAATATAAATTAATACAAACAAAAAAAAAAAATTTTTCTATAAAATTTTAAATTAATTTTACCTATACTATAAATTAATTGAACTTGATCATTATAAAATTCCATTGAATCAATACCATTAAAAAAAATTTTACTTAGTTTTTGCTGTTGTTCTTGTTGTTGTTTTTGTTTTCTTAATTGTAAACGTTTTATTCGATCACAATAAATACTAACTGTTAAATTTATTATTGATATAAATATAGTTGCCCATGTTACTGATGTATACACTAATGAATAGTAGACATCAAAATCATAATCCCATATACTTAAATATGTTTTATGACAATAACCATCTCGATGTTGTAAACGTATTATATGATGAATATTAATAATTGTAAAAAAAACTGTTGTTATTATACAAATAGTTAATGAAAAACGTTGACGAAGATGATAACCACATGTTATTCGTAACATACGATCAAGACATAATAGTGTAAGTAACATTGATATTAAATCATCAGATAAATAATGTGCATATGTTATTAATTTACATGTTAGCAAATTTCGATGAATTATATCAATATTATATGTAAGAAAAAATATAATTGGAACTGATACAAACATATATGCGGTATCGAATACAGCTTTGAATGTTATATACCATTTAGCCGATGATTCTTTATGAAATCGATGTGTTTGAAATAATTTTATCAATTTATAATTTGCCCATGGGCATAAAAGCGCAATAGATATACACGCCAAACGTAAAAGCCATTTCGATAAAAAAACTACAAAAGAATTTGTTCGCATAGATATCTCATGATCATCTATATGTGATGATGATGCATCATCATTCGTTGTTGTACTATTTATGTATTCGTCAATCCAAGAAGGAGCTGATGTTATCATTCTTCATATGTACGTATGTTCTAATTCTTACTATTGATAATATACATGTATTTTAACTGATAAGAATACAACATATCAAATAACGGGAAAAAATAAATACTTGTAATACAATCTTCGATATGATAGTTTTCTTTTTTAAATAGAATTGTTTTATTTAATATTATACAATGATACAATCACCGGGGTGCGGGAGAGAGAGTAGTAAAGAAAACAAAAAAAAGCAAATTATAAACTAAATGATGGATATGATATAGGAAAGTATAATTCTTGATCAGCTATTTCACATTGTGATGATGGTGGTGGTGATGGTTGAAAATGTTCAACATGTGAATAAGATGTTGGAATAGAATATTGACTATAAAATGGTTGTTGATAACAATGTGTCATATTATATGGTGGTGGTGGTGCTGCTGCTGGAGGTGCTGGAAGTGGATGTAAATTATTATTATTAAGAATTTGTGTTGTTTGAGGATAATGATGAATAAAATTAGTTTTCTTTTTCACAATCGGCTTTTTTCTTATTGTTTCTTTCTTTGGATTCGTTGATTCAAGATCTATATTAAAAAAAAAACAAAAGGACGATTGGATAAAATCACGAAAATAAAATCAATCAAAAAACTTACGACAATTAGGTGGACATTCATTTTTTAACCATTGTATAAAATGCTTTTCAGCATCTGATTTTGGTTTAATATTATTTAATACTTCATCACTATCAGGTCCAAAACGAAATGGGCCAGCACCAATTTGTTTCAGTGCTATTGATTTTGGTATATAACTATCTTCATTTGCTATTTGACTTTTTGCACCACGACATATTAAAACTTCCCATGTTGCAAATGATAAATTATATGCTGCTTTGAACAATGGGGTTTCAAGCTAAATAAATTTTTAATACTTAAATATTGAAAAAGAAATTTAAGAAAAAAATACTACATACATGCTCATCTTGTGCTTCAATATTAGCTCCATGTTTTAATAATAATAAAGCACCATTCATATTATTTTCAATAGCTGCATAATGTAAAGCTGTTCGACCTACAAAAACAAAAAGATTTATTCGTTATCAATCTCAATTCGTGTATAACGAGTGTCCTAGAATAAATTGCACTAAATCTTGATGCCTTTTTCTATTACTTCCTATGCATAAGAAATTTTCTTCATAGTCCAAAAGATATAGAATTCAAAGTAGCACAACAATTGTAGACTGTATTTTTCAAACAAATTTAAATTTGTCGGTGCCAAATTGAAAAGATTCACATTTACTCATGAGGAAAAATCACGAAGTATGACGTGTTGAATAAATCGATATTTCATATAAAAATAGGTCTCAATGAGACCAGAACTCTAAAAGGCTGTCACCGTATGCTATTCTTTTTGATTTATAACCATTTTCTTCTACTTTCTACCTTAGGCAAAACAGATATGAAAAAAAATTATCTATGAAATTTTTTGTGCATATATAGATCTCGATATTCATAACTTTTACCTGTGTCACATCATTTTTCGGATATTCAACATTTCAAGAAAATATTCCAATGGTCATAAGATCTATCTATGCATGAAGTGTCATAAATCAATGTCTTTATGTGTGATTGGCCTGAGCTGAAAAATATAGGATAACGGTTGTGACTCTAGAAGGAAGCACAGCATAAAGGAACCAACCCTTTTCCACTTTATCTAGTTTCGCTAAGATTTCTAATTCTCTGCTAATGTTTCTGATAGTTGTGTTTTTTACTTCAACACTGGTCATACCCAAAAGTTTTTCTAAAATTCGAACACATGCATCTAGAGATGCACGATTTTAAGAAAAACTTTATGAAATAGTTCTTGAAGTTTCCTATCTTTCAGGATAAGAAGGAAATCTTTTTTGTAAGATAAAATAAAATAAGAAAAAAGTATGCTAATATTCAATGCTATATCTTCTAAAATCTTGAAATCTGTTTATCTTACCAATACGTGTTTCATTTCCACCACCTGATGCATCACAACGATCAGTTGCATCAACATCAGCACCTCCTATTAATAAACACTCAGCTATATCATTATAATGTGCTCGTATAGCTTTTCGTAATGGATTATCACCAGGTAATTCTTCATTATCTCTTTCAGATGTAAAAGTACTAGCATTAATATCTAATTTTAAAATATTTGCATTCGTTAAGAAAAACTGTACAATATCAAATGCTTTAGCTGCTACAGCACGTAATAACGGTGTAGCACCATATATATCACGTGCATTAGCATCACAACCATGTGCTATTAAAACTCGTACAGCTGTTAAACGACGACGACGACATGCTAGATGTAATAATGTTTCTTGATTGGTAGCTAAACGACAATGAATATCAGCACCACTATTAATATAAAAATTTAAACTTGTTTCTTCATCTGCTTCAAATTTTCCATATGGATCACGACGTGATATTTCTAATTCTAATACATTTATATCACCATTTGGACCACCCGGTATATTTAATGTATTGTTTGGTATTGTTTCACAATCAGGTGATAATGAATTATGTTCAAATTTTTGACGTTTATTATTTGTTAAATCATAATTTGTATTTTTTGTTTTTGTACGATTTATCCATGATAATTCACGTTTATTCTCATCAATAAATATTGATGGAAACCAAACAGGTGCTTTTATAAGACGTTTTGGACGTTGTAGTAAACCATAACCAACAAGAAGAGTTAAGACAAGAAAACAAGGAATAATAACAGCCATATATACATATTTTGATTTATCTTGTATTGGTTGTGCACTATCAGGAAGAATATTTATATCAGATATTGGCATTTGAAGACGTTGAGCTAATTCACCATTTTGTTGTAATGCACCAAGATAATCAACAGATTGACGTACATTATCAAATTGACAATTTGATGACATTGATGAATTACATGTTTTTAATATGGTTATATAAATTTTTACACTAGAAATTCAAAAATAAGAATTTATTTGTTTTTGCTAGTCTAAAACTTTCCCTTGAAAAAAAAACTCAATCTCTTCGTGAAAATTAAGGTAAATGCTATAGCAAGATAATTTGAATTTTGTTTTTTTTGTATAAATGAGATGATTTTCAATATGGCACTTCGTTTTTTTCTTCAAAAATTTTGTTATGGTAGGCACATCCCAAAATTCTCGAAAGCTGCACGTTACTGATATATCCCGAGACCTTTATTCTCAACAATAAAAAATAAAGATCTATTGACACCGATATAAATTTTGCAGTGCCTTTATTATTGACAGGAGTGGGTTCAGAAAAAAAAAACAATACATACCCAATAGGTTTTGTTTTATCATTTCCATCTTTATACCAAGGCAGGATTAATTCACTACCATCTTTATTTAACGAAATTTTTACTGGACTATTTAATATTGAACCTTAAATAGATAGAAAATAAATAAAAATCCATTATAAGTTTGTCATGTTTTTTTCTTCTCTTACTGAATCTTTGAAGAAATAATTCTTTTCGTTTGTCAAATATTTCTTTGCTTATTTCAAGTTGTAATATAATTGTACCTAATAAACCATCATTTTGCATTGGTAAACAATCATCACGATCATAATCGCAACCAATTTTATTACATTCATGATCACATATACCATTTAACATTTTCGATTGACAATAACTTATACTAAACAAATGAGTTCATGAAAGAAAAAAAACAACATAATCATTAATTATTCAACATACTTGCATGTTAATAATTGTTCATCACAATCAAAACCATCTAATAAACATTCTTTTATATTACATTTTTCATCACATTGTCCATTACGAAATAAACGCCAACAATCGCTTATGGGACATAAATCCCATGGATCACGTTTTAATGTACATTCATAATTATCAAATTGACATTGGGCAAAATTACATTCATGATCACATCGATTATTATTTCGTTTTGATGAACAATTATTTATTAAGCATGTATCAAGTGTTGCTTGATTATGACGAGTATTTACAACAAGAAGTTCACAATGATGACCATAAAAATTTGCTGGACATTGACAAAATGAAATACCTAAAATTAATATATTTTTTTTTCTTTTTACAAATAATCAAACATGTTCAATCAAGTTGTTCTACCATTATCTTTTCGAGAACATATACCACCGTTTAAACACGACGATTCGACACATTGAATATTTTGACAATTTTTATTTGTCGTTCCTGGTGGACATGAACATACATATGAACCTGGAGTATTCTAAAATATACAAAACAAAAAAAATATTCGATTACAACAAGCATTACATGATTGATTTCGAAACTAACGAAAGAACCTCTTTAGATACTCCCTTTTGATTTCAATTATGTTCTTTTGCGTAGAGCTACTACAAAGTATTCTAGTCAAAACCCTCAACGCATTGGGGTTCCTATTCGGACTTAACTAAGCTATCGAATTTTATTTCTAGAGGTTCACACTCTTAGAAAACTCGTGGTTTTGAATTTCAATCTGATACTTTACACATATAAAGAACTGAGCAATAATAACTTCCATAAAAAAAATTCACAAATTTTGAACTTAGTTTCTAAAAGATCGAAGACTTTCCAAAAGTAGATCTTGTTTCATCGGTAGTTTATACAACACGCATTTTTCTGAAAACCTCATGTCTCCAAGAGACGTTGTTCATGGAAGTGAATCCAGTTGAGTTTTCCGTATGCACAAATTTTCCGATCAAAATTCGGAAAAACAAGTTTTCTTGAAAAACTTGAAGCCAGTAGAAAAAATTCGGTAACTTTGTTAAATTCAAATCTTTGAAATCGAACGACAATTAGTTGAATCTCTACGAACAGCAACATCATAGATGATCGGCTATTAATAAAATCATGCTATTAATCACGCATAACCATATGCCTCAATAGGGGAGAGACTTGCTCCCTTTACTCGTTACTTCGCGTCTGGATAAATTTTCTACTATTTTGAATGACAGTCTGTCAATTTCTTTTGTTTGAGCTACATCTGAAAACTATCGAGAATTCTA